CAGGGGAGTAGTAAATAACCTGGTTTCATTTTATTACCTCCAGGGCAAGCTACCACTGAGCAAAATTGTGAAATCATCATAAGGTTTATTCTGAGAACCTCTTACCACTTTCCCTCTCCCTTTTCTCACCGATGCTACCCACAACTTTGCTGCTCCTTTCCAACCCTACAACCACCAGTGCTTTACAGTGAGTGAGGTTGCACAGACACCCACTGACAAGAGGCATGGACACTAGCTCCCAGCCTCCCTGTCTCTCTGAGTTTCATGGTGCCCTGGGGAGAGGGACCTGACCACAAATGGGTACTGTGGTGGCAGTCAGACCTGTGGGGAAAACCCAAACAGTTTATCTGGATTGGGCTCCCAGCCTGCCCTCTCCCACGGCACCAGGCAGCTGCTTGCTATGAGCGGTAAACAACTCTGTGGTTTCATGGTTTCTCCTTCTCCCCCCGCCCCCCACCTCTCAAGGCTGGACTCAGAAGAAGGGGATGGAGCCTGGTGCCCTGAGATTCCAGTGGAACCTGATGACCTGAAGGAATTTTTGCAGATTGACTTGCACACCCTACATTTTATAACTCTGGTGGGGACCCAGGGGCGCCATGCAGGGGGTCATGGCATTGAGTTTGCCCCCATGTACAAGATCAATTACAGTCGGGATGGCACTCGCTGGATCTCTTGGCGGAACCGGCATGGGAAACAGGTAGAAAGAAGAAACGTCCAGAACCCGGGATGTCCGAGACCATATTTTGACTTAAGCTAGAAGAAAAAGAGGACAAGTTGTCTGTGTAGATTGGTGTGTCCACAGACCCAGCATGCCCTTGTCAATGTGCAGCCCAGGGTGAGGGAGGGGGGGAAGTGGGCACAGAGAGGAATATCAAGACTGCTGGGAAAGCTCAGTGGATACTTTCTGCTGGGAGAGGGTCCATCAAAAAGGTGATGAGGGGTGGAGAAAAGTGAGGATGGGCCGGGCACGGTGGCTGACGCCTGTAATCCTAGCACTCTGGGAGGCTGAGGCGGGAGGATTGCTCGAGGTCAGGAGTTCGAAACCAGCCTGAGTGAGAGCGAGACCTCGTCTCTACTATAAATAGAAAGAAATTAATTGGCCAATTAATATATATATATAGAAAAATTTAGCCGGGCATGGTGGTGCATGCCTGTAGTCCCAGCTACTCGGGAGGCTGAGGCAGAAGGATTGCTTGAGCCAGGAGTTTGAGGTTGCTGTGAGCTAGGCTGACGCCACGGCACTCACTCTAGCCTGGGCAGCAAAGCGAGACTCTGTCTCAAGAAAAAAAAGGAAAGTGAGGATGATTTAATATCATCTCTTCTCACTCTCTCCTCTCTTCTCAGGTGCTGGATGGAAACAGTAACCCCTATGACATTTTCCTAAAGGACTTGGAACCACCCATCGTGGCCAGATTTGTCCGGTTCATTCCAGTCACTGACCACTCCATGAATGTGTGCATGAGGGTGGAGCTTTACGGCTGTGTCTGGCTAGGTAGGTCTCTAGCACAGGGAGCTTGCAGATCTTTTTAAAAACCAAAACTCCTGGGGAACAATAAAGATAATCAAATCAGAAAGGGATGGGATCAGTTGCCTCTGGAATGAAGTGATTCCCTCTTAGGTAAAGCAGAGAAAGGAGCATTGCTCATTAACCTGTGGCTTGGTGCCCCACACCTGGAATAATGCGTTCAGAATCACTATGCTGACTGCCACTGAGGAGTGCTCCTCAGTTGTTAGCTCCACCTATTGTTGCTTGTGCTATTGGTGTCTTATCCAAGAATTCATTGCCTAGACCAATGTTTCCCCTATGTTTTCTTCCAGGAGTTTTACAGGTTTAGGCTTTATGTTTAAATCTTTAATTCATTATGAGTGATTTTTGTGTATGATGTGTGATAACAGTCTAATTTTATTCTTTTGCATGTGGCTATCTAGTTTTCCCAGCACCATTTGTTGACAAGACTACTTTTTACCCATTGCATATTTTTGGCACCGTTGACGAAGATCAGTTGACGTTTTATGTGTAGGTCCTTTCTGGGCTCTCTAGTCCATTGGTCTATATGTCTATTTTTATTCCAGTACCATACTGTTTAAAGTACCTTTATAATATATTTTAATCTGCAAGGGTGATATGTCCAACTTTGTTCTTCTTTTCAAAATTACTTTGGGTATTTGGGGATTTTTGTGGTTTCATATGAATTTTAAAGTTGTTTTTAAATTTCTGTAACAAATGGCATTGGGATTTTGAAACGCAATCAGTTCTGAATTGGTTCCTTTTTTTTTTTTTTCTTTTCACAATGGATTCCATTTTTCTACTTCTTTACAAATCTGGTCATTTTTTATTGCATGGGACATACTTATACTAAAACTTTTTTTGTTGTTTATTTGAAATTAAAATTTAGGTATGGTGAATTCTGTCTGGCAGCTCAATGTCCTGATAATGCTAGCCCTCCTGACCCCTCTGAACTCTTATCTGTGTCTTCTTGTCTCAGGAAATTCTCCAGGCTCTTCCTGAGTTCTCACTTATAGTGCTGTAGCCTAGACACATTCTTGTGGCAATAAGCTGGTACAGTTGTAGGGCTCATCTTTGTTTCCTGACTTGCAGAGATTGCTTTCCTTTGTTGTCTGATGTTCATCATCTTAAAACTTAAATTTTCATATATTTTGTACTTTTTAGTTGTTTAACACAGGGTGCAAATCTGATCCCTGTTACTTTGTCTTTGGTTGAAAATAGAAGTCCATGCTCAGAAGTTATTATTTTTAGCCAGGGGCCAGAACATGGTGCTAATTGGGGCCAAAATAGTATGTTCATCATAGGAGAGTTTATTGGCTTGCTTTGTAGTTTCATGAAATTATCTACCTAACAAAATAATTCTATAAACCACAAGGGTACCTGGTGATTGCAAGCATGACTCATTACTGTTGGGAAATTGATTAGAAGTACACATCTGCTAATAAGAGAATGGAGATGGGCCACTGGGGTTATACCAAATACCAAGCATAAATAAGCATACTACACTATATCACATTACTCATTAGAGTTTGGACAAAAAGACAGGCTTGGCTAAGGGTCTAATCTTGGAAGCTCAAATTGTATTTGGAGTGAGGGCCAGGAAGACAAGTCTGCTACAATCAGGGCGGACAAACTGGGGTCATAGAGGGACTTAGGAAGATTTAAGTCCTCTTATTCCCTGTTCAATAATCAGTGATATTCTTTGTAGGGGGCTCTGGAAATCAAAATAAAAGCATGTTCTCTCTTTTCTCTTTGGTTTCTCTTGGTCCAGCTATATGCCGCTACCCTCTGGGCATGTCAGGAGGGCACATTCCAGATGAAGACATCTCAGCTTCCAGTCAGTGGTCGGAGTCTACAGCTGCCAAGTATGGAAGGTGAGGATGGCTGCTTCAGGAAAGCCTGAGTGGTGGGTTGGACAGATTTCCTGGACACAGAGCCCTGACACAGAAGAGTGGTACTGGCAGGGGCTAGTGAGAGTGAAGGGAGGACATCAAGGGGGCCTGTCCTGCTCTGTATGTTTCCAGGGAGAGAATTCAAGGCTTGGCCACATGTGCTGGTCTTGCAACCCCATTCCAACCACAGAGGCCCCAGAGCCATACCACCCATGGTGAATGGGTTCATTGATACCCAGTGGATGTGCTTTAGCTGCCTTCTCACCACGAGCTGAAGCAGGAGGTGGGCCAAAATGGCAGCTATGGGAAGGGGCAGATTATGGAGGAGGCTGGGAGCTAGTGTCCATGCCTCTTGTCAGTGGGTGTCTGTGCAACCTCACTCACTGTAAAGCACTGGTGGTCACTATGGATAAGGCCAGTTAAATTTTATAATTTGCCAAACATTTTTCAATGAATAAATACACTTAAAAATGTATCTGTCAGGCTGGCATGACTAGTCTTAGTCTTTTTTTGCAATTCATAAATTTTACCTGTCATTGATTTGGCTGCAAACCTCAAGGGTCACATCCCTTATTGCTTGAGAACGAATATCCCAATCTCTTCATCTGGGAGACCCCGGACATATCTCCTAGAACTTGAGATGCAGAGCTTGAGGAGAAAGAAGGTTCCACATGATGGGTTTTTCCTCTGTCCCTCCACAAAAAGAAGGAAGGAGGCCTCTTTGTGTCCTTCAACTAGTCAAATTAACATAAATATACTTACATGCCATCCACAAGTCAGGCTTCTGGCAAACTCAGTCATTCAGAACAGAGCGTCACACTCAGAAGTAAAAAAAAAAAAGGCTGCCAAGTTAGAACACAAAACTAAATCCAATACCTGAGACTCTTATGAAATACATACATTTTACTTCATGATCTAGTATATTCTACAAATTTAATTAAAAGTAAATATAAATTAGATTTGAATTTTGGGATTACATTTCCCCGCTGTAGTATGATATCAAATTCAGTGGTTGGAGCTGTGTGGTAGAACAGAGTGTGACTGGTTTTCTCTGAAATTGATTCACTGAACAATGACAACATATGGTCAAGGAGGGGGTCAGAAAAATTTCCAACAAGCTCTGAGAACATTTATTTGGTGATGGGGCAAGTGCTACTATTTACTGTAGTGTTCATTCTATGCACGTATTCATTTCTTTATTTATTTAACAAATTAATTCATCAAAGGCATTTGATAATATTGAGTCATTATATTAAGACTTATACTCAGTCTATAAGAATAGGCACAGCACAATAGATTATAGAAAGCTTTTTGCATAAAAATGGGAAGATGCTGTTTAAAAGTTTTGCTACTAAAGGGGTAAGCATCAAGTATTTTGTAAAATGTATGAAATTCTTAGTTCTCCATTAATGCAAGATAAGTGAGTCAATACTATTAGTACATTTGATTATTTATAATCCTTTAATTTGGAAATAATAAGCTCTTATGAAATCTAAGATAAAAATCTCTTATAGGAAGAAGCTAGGTAAATGCTCTTGCATGAATGTGTGATTAACTCAGGTTCCTCTTTCCTTTTTCTCTTCCTTTCCTGGCCTGAGCAGCATGACTGAGGGGCTAGGCCAGTTGACAGATGGAGTGTCTGGCCTGGACGATTTCACACAGACCCATGAATACCATGTGTGGCCCGGCTACGACTATGTGGGTTGGCGGAACGAGAGTGCCACCAATGGCTACATTGAGATCATGTTTGAATTTGACCGCATCAGGAATTTCACTACCATGAAGGTCAGTGGAATCAGGTGTGGTGGAACTTCTTCAATGGGCCCAAATCATAGCATGGTAGAAAAAAGGTGTGCTAGCAAGAACCCTGATGCCAGCAAATACACTCAAATACATATTCTGCTACTGACTAGCTCAGACATCCTCAAACTACGGCCCACTGGCCACATGTTTTTGCCACCGCTGCCTGTCCTGCTTAGTAGCCGACTCGTCCTGGGCCCACAGTGCGCATGTGTGGAATGTGTGCCGCACTCTCCAACGGCCCTCCAACAGTCTGAGGGACAGTGAACTGGCCCCTTGTTTAAAAAGTTTGAGGACCCCTGGTAGCTACATGCATCACACAGGAGGTTAGAATAGGTCAGTTGGGTTCTCAATTTTTTTTTTTTTTTTGTCTCAACACCAGAGATGACATATCCATTAGGCACAGTATGCAGTGTCCAGGGCCCATAATACTTTCAAGCCTCATGAAGATGTTTTAATTTTTTTTTAATGTCAGAAGAAAAAAAAATATATATATATATATATGAAATATGGAGGGAGTGTCCCATAAAGGCAAAAGTGACTAGGGCCTCTAAAAGTCATTATATGGCCCTGCCCAACACTCCCAGGGATGTCACACAGTCTTATCAGTAATAGAGGCTCATTGCAATTCTGATTCTCAATGGAAGAAGAATCTCAACCATTCCCCACCCCTAGAGTATGTTACTGAGACATCATAGTAGAAAACTCCATACTCTGCTGTGCCCAGAGTTTCTTGTTTTCTTTTCTATTACCATACGTCTCTTGTCATCTATTTGTGTATGTGTCTGATTCTCTTCCTAGACCTCAAGCTTCTCCAAGGTAGTGACTCTGCTTTCTGATCTCTGTTTCCTAGTGCCTGGCACTTGATATATGCTAGGTTAATAAATGTTTGTGAATGAACAAATGATATCCTTGATTGCCTACGCTAACCATTCCTAGTCATAAATATCTCTACCTCCTTGGATACAAAGAGGAGGAGATATGTTAGACAAGAACAAGACATTGGTAAATTGTATTTTCTTAACTATAAACAGAAATTTGAAGAAGAGTCTGGGGCCAGGCAGGCCTCAGTTACTCCTGGCTGGACCAGTTTCAGGATTCTAGACCTCGAGCCCAGGGTATCAATTCTGTCTTCTTTATGGTATCTCAGTGACTCTGTTCAGTCCAAGGAGTTAGCAGGGGATGGGGTGTAGGATTAACCCAAATCTGCTGTAAGGCCTAAAATGTAAATTATTAGATTTGGGGGTGGGGAGGAGGGAGCTAAAATACAAAATCCCAAAAGTCTGTATTAAAATATAAGCACTTTACATGGGAGAGAGTAAAATATTAAAAAATTAATATCTTCAGTGCAATAATAGAAGTTATGTTATTGGTTTATTATCACAGGGCAGTGAGGAGGGAAGAGGTGACCTTTATTGAAAGGTGTGGTGGAAACCAGGAGGCTTGGGAAAAATCTAGAGGCTGGGCCTGTGATGGACCATGGTAAATGCAGACACCCGAGAAGAGCTGGCGTCTGGGGCTTAAGGTCTGATTTTCACTCTCTCTGCAGTAGGCCCGCACAGGAGAGCCCAGCCTGAATGTAAGAGCGAGGGCATCTTTCTTAATAAAACGGGTTTTCTAGTACCTGGCTCAAACAATTATTGTCCTTTTCCCTTACTCGATCTCAAGTCTGTTTCTGAGGGAAAGAAATGGAGGGGAAGAAAAGTACATACAAAAAGTGACCAGAGTGGATGCTAAACCTGGATTCTAGGCTCGAGGAAAACTAGGACTTAAGGGTGGAAGAGAAAGGCCTTTTGCTGGCTATAAGAAAGACACCCCAGGAGCTTATGTGGTTTGCATATAACTCTTACTGGGTTATGAAGGCGCATGAGAGGACTGTCGTGTAAGCCCCAGGAAAGAGAGTGGGCCAGTGAATTTGACCCACACATGGAGCCCTGTTTATCTGTTTTTTTTTCCCTGTTAATAGTTGGGTGCAGAATATCAGTGGCCAAAATATGGGAGACTCTGCCTCTGTTTGCACTCAGTCCTCGTTTCAACATTTGTTTCCTAAATTCATCCATTCTCCTATCTATCTGTGTTACTAATTTATCAACAGTATTTGGTACTATGCAAGATTCTGGGAATAAACAGATGTATAAGAAAACGTCCCTACTTTGGGACGATTTGCAATTCCATGGGGAAGGTACTGTTTATTTGCAAAAGGAAGTATGTAGGGTGATGTGGGATACAGAATAAGGAAATCTGTGTTATCATTAAGGGTTCTTTGTAAATCAGAATTTGTTATTCTTTACACAAACTGGGAATCAAAAAGAAATGCATGTCTATTTTATTATTCCCAGATGTTAATGCTCTAATATTTCCTGATTGGATTAATAGTTATGAGTTAAATGAACAAACATTTAAGATGAGAACAGAAGGATCAACACATGCTCAGTCTGCTGATTTATTGTTCAAGGGTGGCTCTTTGGCAGTTGTAAAACATAAGTGTGTGTAACACATTCTTCACAGTTTTTGGGGGGAGGATATGCATAGTAACAAAAATATGCTTTATAAGAAAATGTATCTGTATTTCTGAACAATGTGTATGTGTATCTGTGAACATGTAAATAAATTCACAACTGTATACCTTTGGGAGAATTTCTAGTGCCACAAACAATGAAATGTATTTTAAATTCTCCATAAAGTCATACTATGTCATCAATAGACTTAGACTTTCCTTATTTCTCAGCAGCTCCTGTTTAACAGTTTATCACAGGTTAAAATCATTCAAAAGCATATTCTGCAATGAAAAGGTACCAAAAACTGCTAGGGAGCTTACTCATGGCCAGTCTTCTCAAGGCCAAACAAGTCTCCAGCATATTTTAATTTTTTTGAGACAAATAGAAAGTAAAGAATGACTTTCAGAGCACCGGTGTCTTCCAGAGAGTAGTTTTTACTTCCGATGCAAATTACTATTCATTTTCCTCCATTCTATTTTCCTCCATACTATTCATTTTCCTCCTTACTGAAGTATAGTCAGAATACACCATTACGACATTCGAATGCATTTAAAAACTGTGTTGCATTTATTAAATAAATATGTAAATCCACATGGGAATGAAATCCTATGCTATTTATTTGCATTCTAGGAGAATTCCCAAAACATCTGTGGGAGACATTATTACCTTCCCCACAGGATACTTATTCAATGCTTTGCAGATTTTAAAACATCTGAAAAATCTATTGAAACTGTACATGGCTTTTCTTTGATTTTTTTTTCTTAGCCTTGTTCCATTGACTTGTGTTCAATAAACTGGAACGGTTAATTCGCTCTACGGAAATATTAACAACACATGTTTTCATCATTAAAACATTTGGAGGAAAAGCCAAATGGAAAAGTTAACATGCTTTGCTCCATTTCTGAGTGCCATAGTATGAAGAAAGAGCACTGGACTAGGAGTCCAGGGTTCTAGACCCAGTTCCGTCGTTGCCTGAGCATAGGCCAAGTCAAACCTCTGATCACCAGTACCTCCTTAGTAAATAGGGTGGGACTAGATGAATTTTACAATCTCTTGTCCCTCTAATATTCTGTTCTTAGAGTATCTCTGCTTGGTTTGTTTAGTGGTTAAAATTCTATAATCATTGTTGTTGTTTCTTCAGCTAAAAACAAGTTCTGAATGGTAGTCCTGTATCAACTGTCCAGAAACCAGAGGAGAGGGTGAAAACAGGTAGAGTTACAACTCCAGACGTAAGCAAGACAGTAAAACAGAAACAGGAAATACATTCTTAGAATGACAATGATGTTTTTCCAACCTATGCAGTCTTTAAATTCAGAGGATGGCGGCCAGCAAAGCTCCATATCCCATGTGGGACTGAGCCAGAGGAAATGTTACCCAAACGATCACTTGCGTTGGTTACAAATATGCACCTTCTGTTTCTTAGGGTTGTAAAACACAGCAAGGTACTACAGGGGGACTTTGTTCCTGATGACCCTTAAAAGGCTTGCAAATATCCTGGAAAAACAGTCATGGCATCAGGCAAGAGGATGCATGTTAATTTCCAACAGAACTTCTTTTCTCATCTCAGAAATATCTATCTATTCAGAAGATCTGAGGGCTTCATCAGAATGGCTTTACCTCAACTGAATTTACTTAAAAGAGATGATTAAGTCTGTGTTTCTGGCTGGAAAAGGCTTATACATGGCACTTGAAATGAGATCGCTACGAAAGAAAGATAAAATTGTTTCGGGTATTATATATTATTTCAGGTTTCTCGCCTAACCCTGTTGAAAAGAAATGGACTGGCCTTGAAATGTACTTAGGAAGAACTGGGATGGCAGTTTTCTTCTTACCTTCGTTTCGGATTCCTTTGATTTTGGTTGTTCACCCTTGGGTTTAGGGGGTTTCCGGTTTATACCTTTACTTGCTTGGAAAAAAAGGCAGAAACTTTTCCTTGGGGCCACAGTGTTTTATTACAAAAATAGGATAAAAACTTCGAGTGTCATTTAAAGGTAAACATACATAGAAAAACGAAATATATTGGCTTCTGTTCATTTAACCCACGTTTTTAAGAATTAAATTGTTCAATATTAACTGTAACAATAAGAACATCAACAAGTAAGGATTTATATATGCTTCATGGGGCCCTGGGGTCAAAACCAGAGTGAGTTAAATACAACTGTCATGGCAGGTAAGATGTCAAAGAGAGTTCAGTGCAAGGAAGGGCCGGAGAGGATGGTCCAGCCCTCATCTAACGGATAAGAAAACTGTTGTCCAGTAACATGAAATGAGGTGGTGAGGAGCAGACAGGGCATGGAGGTGACTAAAGTTGCAGACTGTGTTTTATATGGCCCGATCAATGTATCACTGTCACTGTGAAGTTCGTAGAACGGAAACCCCAGACGACTGCAGAACACCAGCTGTTCACCAGGGGTGGCCTAGAGAAACAGGCAAGTCTGGAAACTTACCGAATTGGCTTGCACTGGGTCCCCAGGCAACTCAGCAGTGCCGATCTGTCACTCACGTCCCTCTTCCTCTGCCAGGTCCACTGCAACAACATGTTTGCCAAAGGTGTGAAGATCTTTAAGGAGGTGCAGTGCTACTTCCGCTCCGACGCCAATGAGTGGGAGCCTAATGCTGTTTCCTTCCCCCTTGTCCTGGATGACGTCAACCCGAGTGCCCGGTTTGTCACGGTGCCCCTGCACCACAGAATGGCCAGTGCCATCAAGTGCCAATACCACTTCGCTGACACCTGGATGATGTTCAGCGAGATCACCTTCCAATCAGGTGGGGAACGCGGGGCCCCTTGGGGAAGGGGGAGCGGTGTGATGAAGGAGGAAGGCCCATGTCTAGAACTTCTCATTGGCAGGTCTCTGAGAGATGTAGGGTTGCCCAGGTGGCTTCTCACTGGTGGAGAGAAGGAATAGTTGTGTGACTAGTTTCAACGGTGCAGGGTTAGGGGTGAGAGGAGAAGTGAACAGAGTATTTACTTGACTCTTAAATAGTAAAAAAAAAAAAAAAATTTTAACTGGGGTTGCCTTTTTTTAAAAACTTTATATAAATTAAGGCTGTTAAGGGGAAGCACATGCAAGCATTATTAAAATGTTTAAATGAAGATGTCTAAATACATATAAAAGTAAAGAGAACAATAAGCTTCCAACCATCACTGAGCCTTACTAACCATTGATATTTTGCCATACTTGTTTCATCTAGTCCTTTCTTTTTTGCTGGAGTGTTTTAAAGCAAATCTGAGATATTATTTGATTTCATTGCTAAAGTTTTCAGAATGCATCTAAGAAAATAGCATCATTTTTGTAAGCATGATACCATTATAATATCTAACAACACTTATTATTAAGTAATTCCTTAATATCCCGCCTAATAGCCTGTCCATTTTTAAGTATCCCTGATTGTCTAATAAAATGTCTTACTACAGTTAGCTTGATCCAATCAGAATCCAAATAAGGCCCTCTCGGTGTATTCCTTTGTTCTATCTCCTCAATATCTCTTTTAATCTAAAGCAGCCCCTTCCTTTGTTTTTATTATTTTATTTTATTTTTTATTTTTTTTTGAGACAGAGTCTCACTTTGTTGTCCAGGCTAGAGTGAGTGCCGTGGCATCAGCCTAGCTCACAGCAACCTCAAACTTCTGGGCTCAAGCAATTCTCCTGCCTCAGCCTCCCAAGTAGCTGGGACTACAGGCATGTGCCACCATGCCCGGCTGATTTTTTCTATATATATATATTAGTTGGCCAATTAATTTCTTTCTATTTATAGTAGAGGCGGGGTCTCACTCTTGCTCAGGCTGGTTTCGAACTCCTGACCTTGAGCAATCCGCCTGCCTCGGCCTCCCAGAGTGCTAGGATTACAGGCGTGAGCCACCTCGCCCGGCCTGTTTTGAAAATTTGATTCTGTTTTAGCTGACTGCTTTCTGTGGTGTCATTTTACTCAGACTTTTGTCCTCTATCATTCCTGCTGACTGGAGGTTACAGCTATAGGTTAAATTGACTCAAGTTCAATATTTATTTTTGTCAAGAATTCTTCATAAATAGTATTGTGTACTTTATGTTGAACCTCATCATGGGGACGTCACCTTAGATCCTCTCACTTTTAGCGACACTAAGATGGATTTCTGGTTTTAGGAAAGTCCCGTATGTTTCCCATGAACTTTTACCTCAGGTTCTACTTTCCATTGACAGCCGTTGTTAGAATTGTTTATTTTCTTAGGGTTTTTCTAATTCTTTCATTTCTCCTACATTTCTTGGCTGAATTTCTTCTGAATAGAGGAACTATTCTTCATGCACTTGCTTACTCTGAAATGCAGTTCACATTGGAAGAGCCAATGGAAGGCTCTTGACTAACTTTTTCCCTTTAACTATCAATTTTACATGACAATTATTTTCCCCTTTACATGACTAATTTTTTCCCTTTAATTATCAATTTTCAGAGTAATGACCTTCTTGATTAGACAAATCACAGGGAAAAATTAGTCACCAACATAAACTGGCAAATATAGCTTTGGGATTTAGTCTCAAAAGCTGCCACGTCATAGCAAAGGACAGCCCAATGTCCATAATCTATCTATGAAGATGAAGACATAATTTGTAAATTAAAGGGCAAGGCTAATGAGGCATAGTGGAAACCCTCTTATAAAACATTTCCTTGAAGGAAAGGGCACTTTAGCATTATCTGCTGTATGCTCACCCACTGTATCCTCTCTACATTTTGCTGGCTCTAGGCTAGCTTCCTGTGCTTTACGGTACTGTATGGTCACAGACCCTGGAACCACTGTTTCTTAAACTTCTTGTACTGTGACCCCTAGTATGCAATATTAGAAGCAAAAATTTTGCAAGAAAAAAGTTGCCCTTACTATAATATATAGATGAATGGTGAGATTTTAGTTTAATATATTTATAATTTTATTTTCTAAAAAGGCTGGTGGCAACCCACTAAATGGAGTTCACAATGTGCTAGGTCACCACCTGCCTTCAGAAAATCCTCTAGCTATCTGTCTTCTCCCCAGCTCTGTCTTCTCCTCAGCTCTGATTCACCCTTGTTTTGTAACAGACGCTGCCATGTACAACAACTCTGGAGCCCTGCCCACCTCTCCTATGGCACCTACAACCTATGGTATGTGTGATTCCTAATTACAAAAATTAAGTTGAAGGGACCTCCTGGAGGATGAAGAAGGGTGGAGATTTGCAAAGGCTGGACTATTATATGGCAGGCTTGACACCAGGTGGCTTTGGATGAAGAGTAGCCATGGAAAGGTAGGACAGATAGTCCACCTCAAAGTTAAGGTCTCAAATTCACTCTCTTCACTACTGGTTCATTGATTCTTCAGCTGAGGCAGAGTCTGGGGTTGTCCCAGTTGCTCCATGAAAGTTCGGGAAACTTGCAGCAGAAACAGGGAAAGGGACATTGCTAGGTGAGACTCATAGTGGGGATCTCAATGAATGGGTGGAAGTTTATGAAACAAAATGCCGGTCTCTCTAACTGGAGATAAATATGCAAAAGTGCATTCATTGCTTCAGACAGTCACTGGCTATACCAGCCAGCAATCTGGGAAACATGTGATTGAATGTTTCCAAAGAGCACTCTCAGCTACCTTGGCATGTCTCAGAGAACGCAGAGAGTGAAATTAGTTCCTCACCTGTTTTACATGAGTTGTGATTAGGAGACCCAGGCCATGCTAATATAGGGACAAAATCTGGAGAAGAATGGAAGAACTCTTCATTATCCAGTCTGAGACATGTGGGAGGGAAGGCTACTATCCCATTGAGGAGGACTGGAGAATACAGGAGCAAAATAATAAAACAGTAGCAAGGGCAAGAATAAGTAGAAGTAGTAATGTAGCATCTTCTGCAATTATCTTCCAGAACAGGGTCTACCTCCAGTCCAGTCCCTCATGCTTTTTTTTGTTCCATGAGATGATTATATTCTCCTCTTTCTCTTCCTGGTCACAGATCCAATGCTTAAAGTCGATGACAGCAACACTCGCATCCTGATTGGCTGCTTGGTGGCCATCATCTTTATCCTCCTGGCCATCATTGTCATCATCCTCTGGAGGCAGTTCTGGCAGAAGATGCTGGAGAAGGTGAGGAGGTACCAGGCGGACAGGACTCAAGAAGCTGCTATGTCCTTTCTTGAGCCACTCATGCCCCAGGAGTGAAAGGCAAATTACAAGACTTTATAAAGGGTTAGAGTTAACAGGGACTACCAAGAAGCATATGAAAGGGGGGGATTGTTGTTGAAAGGAGCCAGAAAGGAATTAGCTAACATTATTTTCTCATGTTTAGAATGGAGACATTAGAACCTTCCTAGAACATTGAGAAAACTCTCTCTAATACACTGAATCTCAAGTCAGATGTTTTCCTTAAAAATTCTGATTCATTGGGTTTGGGGTAGAGTGCAGGCATCTGGATATATTTTTTTAATTTAACAATGATTCTGATGCATAGCCAAGGTTGAAAATCCCTCTCCTAATTGTCTAGCTAAAATTTCTTAAAATGCTTTTGAAGTTCCTTCTCTTCTTTTTCTGTTTGTTTGCTTATTTGTTTTTGGTGTGTGTGTGTGTGTGTAGAAAAATATCCAGCCTCATTAATATCCAAGCCAAGTTTCTCACAATTCTATTCATTGTTCTGTGAACGTGAAGGTTACAATTACATATCCCTCTGAGTCCTTCCTGAGACTCTTTCTGTCTAAGAGATGATCTGAATAACTTTTACCACATTTATCTAACACTTTACAAAGACTTTTTTCTCATGTATGATTTTATTTGAAGCTCATCAAGTAATGATGAAGTGGGCGTAGTTATATTGAGCTATTTTTCTGATGAGAAAATGTGATGTGTTCAAGGTCATACAACTAGTGTTCAATCTTCTGTGTTCCTTCCAATTGTTAATATTGAAATACGCTGATTTCTTTCTTCTAAAATATATATATTCCATCAAAGATGGAATAGCTGTGACTTTTCTTGGTTTCTTTTCTTGTTTCTTTGACTTTTCTTGGTTTCTTTTCTTGGTTTCTGGGACCAGATAGTAACTCCCTGGGAACTGCTTCTAAGTGTCTGATTCTCTTGGAGTTGGCTGATGAGTATTTCTGCCTTTGGTCATGGACACCTTCTGCCTTTGATCATGGTCAAAGAGTTCTCCCCAGTAGACATGGACTGTGAGAAGTCATAGAAACTCTGAGCTGTGAGGCTTTGAATTGCCTATGGAGGGCAGGGAGAATTCCCTATAGGAGGGAAGGTATAGCCTGATTGATCTCTGTGTTTAGGTGTGGTCTCTCAGAGGAGACCGATGCCTGTGTAGAGTATATTACAGAGGAGGGGAAGGGCACCGTGAGAATGGGCTTGAATCTCCAGAACTCTTTGGATTAGGACTGGACAAAGGGAGCTCAAATCAGAGAAGTGAGGGGAGTCACCCAGATGAGCAGCCCACAGTTCCTTCTGACCTGTTCCACATTCAAGTCCCTAAGATGGTTATTTTAAGGTTGTTAGGCAGGAGTATTTCACAGAAGAGAGAATCTCCTTGCTTCCCACAAGGGCCTCTACCATCAGTCTGAAAACACTTTACCTAGATTAAAGCTTTCAATTCATAAATAGTGGCTAGACTAAAAGGCAGAATCCATAGACTCACCTGTCGACATGACTATGTTTCGAGGTATCAATGCGGGGATATCAGAACCTGTCCTCGTTTAGACTGCTGGGACACACTGTATCTAGATGAGGCACTCCAGGGTGGTGGGGGAAGCTGGTGTGAGACGAAGGTCCATTGGATAGCTTAAAGCGGGTGTGTGTCCTTCTAGAATAGTCTGTCAGGACCACATTTTAGCTGAGGGAGAAGGATCTGTGTTCTTTATCAGCTTTTTGTCTTTATTTGAGCCAGAATGTACCACACTTCTTTGGGTCTTTCTTCTGAGGCCTGTTGGAATATCTTCATGGGCTTCATGTTGGATTAGAAACTCTCCAGGCATGGCCAGGCGCGGTGGCTCACGCTTGTAACCCTAGCACTCTGGGAGGCCGACGCGGGCGGATTGCTCAAGGTCAGGAGTTGAAAACCAGCCTGAGCGAGACCCTGTCTCTACTATAAAAATAGAAATAAATTAATTGGCCAACAAGCGAGACTCTGTCTCAAAAAAAGAAACTCTCCAGGTAGAAGGGAGAGCAAGAATTTTGCCCTTGAATATTTAACTTAGTCCTTCAAGAAACTCTTTCTAGCCTTGTATATCCTGAGCAAGAGAGCTCAAGGTGCTCTCTGGAATGACACTCAGGATTTCTTCCAGGGGACATAATTTTATGTGGAAAATCTGTAAGTATGCACAGATATTCTAAGAACACTGCTTAATGTAGTTTTAGCCGGTAGAATTATTTGTCGGATACTTTTGATGGTATCCTCAGCACTCCCTCTTCGAGAGGTTAAACCCACGTTTATTGAATATCTACTATGTGCTGGGCTGCATGCTTAGTCCTGGGGATATCACAGCAACAAAGGACCCTTCAGTTTAGTGGAAAAGCCCACAACTAAGTTTCTCCATCCAACACCCACACTGTTTTTTGGTTTTTTTTGTTTTTTTTGAGCAGAGTCTCACTTTGTTGCCAGGCTAGAGTGAGTGCCGTGCATCACCTAGCTACAGCAACTCAAACTCCTGGGCTCAAGCAATCCTTCTGCCTCAGCCTCCCGAGTAGCTGGGACTACAGGGATGCGTCACCATGCCGGCTAATTTTTCTATATATATTATGTTGCCAATTAATTCTTCTATTATAGTCGAGATGGGGTCTCGCTCTTGCTCAGGCTGTTTCGAACTCCTGACTCTAGCTATCCGCCCGCCTGGCTTCCAGAGGCTAGGATTACAGACGTGAGCCACCGTGCCCGGCCACACACTGTTTGTTAAAGTGCAGCATTTTACATGTTTAAATCCAAATACTCACACACATTTGGGTGCTGGCACTTTCCTCTTGATGAGGCAGGCGGTTTATATCGAATCAGATCAAACATTTAGTTGTTGTTGTGTCTTCTTGCTGGATTAGGTGTAATTCACTTTGGTATCCCAGATACCTAGGGATTTTTGTTGCATTTTGTAGCCATTTTATTTTTGGTTAGTAAAATGTGGGGTCGGGGTATTATAATATCTTACCTGCAGTGCCAGGATGCCCAGGCAAACTATTGATTCATCACATTACAGCACATTTGTTGAGTTAATGAGCATTTTAATTTATGTCTATGTAAAGTCAAAGCAGATAAAGGGTAAGTCAGCAAAACCTATTATTAAATAGAACATAGAAAACTCTGTAGGCTGGGCGTAGTGGCTCACGCCTGTAATCCTAGCACTCTGGGAGGCTGAGGCGGGAGGATCACTCAAGGTCGGGAGTTTGAAATCAGCCCGAGCAAGACTGAGATCCCATCTCTACTAAAAATAGAAAGAAATTAATTGGCCAAGTGAAAATACATGGGGAAAAAAAATTAGCCAGGCATGGTGGCGCATGCCTGTGGTCCCAGCTACTCGGGAGGCTGAGGCAGGAGGATCGCTTGAGCCCAGGAGTTTGAAGTTGCTGTGAGCTAGGCTGACACCAGGGCACTCTAGCTCAGGCAACAGAGTAAGACTCTGTCTCAATAAAAAAAGAAAAGAAAACTCTGTAAGATCAAGAAGATCTTTGGCTACTGATGGGTTCCTACAGCATCATGTAAATAATGCTTATGAGTACTACAAGTACTTCAGAATGTTAATGTGTGTGGGCAGCACAGAAATCAGGAGGTCAGATTCTGTCTTGAAGAAATGAAGGATTATTCTAGATTATTCTAATTTCCTATATCACAGGCATTTGTGGAACCAGACTGCATGTCTGTCACTTGCTGTGTTTCTGGGTTTGATGAGTAGTAAAGGGTTATTTCATCTGAGTGGAAGAGCCAGGTTTAGGAAGGGGAGGGAGTGACAACGTGCCTTTGTGCCAACGCGCCCTTGTACCCGATCTTCTCTTGCAGGCCTCCCGGAGGATGCTGGATGACGAAATGACAGTCAGCCTTTCCCTGCCAAGTGATTCCAGCATGTTCAACAATAACCGCTCCTCATCACCCAGCGAACAGGAGTCCAACTCCACTTACGATCGCATCTTTCCCCTTCGCCCCGACTACCAGGAGCCGTCCAGGCTCATACGAAAACTCCCAGAATTTGCCCCAGGGGAGGAGGAGTCTGGTGAGGATGACATGGCGGGCAGGGGGTTGCGGGAGAAGCAATGCCAGCATCGGGTTGGGATCACAGTCCTGCTCTTGGTTAACCGCGCCTGTTTTTAGTTTATGCTTATCTCCAGAGAAGTCCACGTTCTCTTTCTAGATTTGGTCTGCTGCTGCTAGCCTCATGTGGGCACCTCTTCTTTGCTAGGGAACCTAAGATGTTTAGAGTGACTCACATGTCAGAACAGGAAATTTAAGAAAAGGTGTTAACTAAGGTGACAACAACAAAAGAACCTAAACAATCCAATCACTCTAACCTCATTTTACTTTGTGAGAAAAGAGAGAAGGCCTAGCTAGGGTACTCACCAGGCATCAAACTTCATGAGGGGTAAGTTCAGGATAGAATTTCACCTGGAGAAAAAAAAAATGAATGAATGAAGCAAATGGCATTCTAAAATTCCCAGTTTTGTAGCCATCCAGATAATTGAGTTAGTTATCTTACTTTGGTTAATTTCTCTTTGGTAAATATTGGTTAGGATAATACAAGATTTTATCATGAAAGTAAATGTTTCTGGCCTTTTCTTAATAAAAGTCTTGAGGTAAAACAGCACAACAATTAAAATAGGGTCAATTGATTTGAATCCCAATGTCTTTTTTTAAAATGCTGCAGAGTGACATCAGGAGGGAAGTTGGGGTCATCTCTGAAACTCTGAGCAGCTTTTCTGTAAGGTCATCAATTTAACAGTGAAGAAGAGGAGTGAAGAAGTCCTCAGAAGAGGAGGACTTGTGTTCAGGAGAGAGGAGCACGGTCCGAGCTGGATGCAGAAGCAGGCAGGACTAAATGTGACAGCATACGGTTTTCAAGGAAGGGTTTTTTTGTTTTTTAGAGGAAAGGAAACTAACATCTATTTTATCACTCAACAAATAGAAAACATTGAGAGAGCACATTAAACTCAGGTAACTTCACAGAGAGAGCAAGAATAAAGAATATAAATTGCCACGTTTCCCCGAAAATAAGGCAGGATCTTATATTTGTTTTTCCTCAAGAAGACACCCTATGGCTTATTTTCAGGGGATGTGTTATTTTCCCCTCAAAGCCTCAGCTTGCAGCACGCACAGGATGTCCGGGACCTGACAGGGGGAGCTGACCTTGTTGGTGGGGCTGCCCACACTTTTCCAGTCACCTCTGGGATAGTAGCTGTCACGATGGGGCAGGTGAGAAGGGCTGCTCGTCTTCTTTACCGCTCCGTGACGAAACACATGGGTTGGGCAGATACGCTGCATAGCCACGCCCATCACTTGGTCTTATTTTCGGGGTAAGGTTTATATTGCGCAAATGCTTAGAAATCCTGCTAGGGCTTATTTTACGGGTAGGTCTTATTTTCAGGGGGAGCACGGTAATTTATTTCCCAGACTGAACTGAAGTAATTTATCTATTTTCTGAAGGCCAAAACATCCCACTTCACATATTTTAATGTTTAAGTGAGGATGCATTTTAAACTAGATCATATAAATTTAATCTGAAAGTTTTAAATCATTAAGATAGGTATTTAAATCAATGACAGTATCTTAAAATTTAGGAACTATGTTACCAAACCTTAAACCTTCAATATTCCCACCCTGGTACACCCTCAGCTTTCCTATAGCTTTACCATACAATTCCACAAGATTAGCTAAGGAAGTTGTTAATGGTCATGTATTATGAGGAGAAGAATGAGAGACGAAATGGTCTGAAGGTCACAAGAAAGCCTCTAGAAGAAGCAAAATCGTGCTACAAGTAAGTGACACGAAGTAGGTTAGGCTGTCATGGCGTGTTCCAGCCCTCCTCTCAGATTCTCATCCTTGAAGAGTTCTCCAAAGATGCTCCCTGGAATGAGACCAGTTGTCCTTGTCTTCCCAGGCTGCAGTGGCATTGTGAAGCCGGTCCAGCCCAGTGGCCCGGAGGGGGTGCCCCACTATGCAGAGGCCGACATAGTGAACCTCCAGGGGGTGACAGGCGGCAACACCTACTCAGTGCCTGCCGTCACCATGGACCTGCTCTCGGGGAAGGATGTGGCCGTGGAGGAATTCCCCAGGAAACTCTTAACTTTCAAGGAGAAGCTGGGAGAAGGCCAGTTTGGGGAGGTGAGCTGATCCTTTGATTGGGGTCTCAGGTCCTTGATTGCTCAAAGGAAGTGGTTAGATAAAAGTGGTTCGTAGAACAAAGGGTCCCTTCCAGAATTGGATTCACAACCGAATGTCTCCTCCACTGGTCTCTCCTTGCATTGTCCTCTGGGAGACCAGTGTTGGGTCAGCCTCAACCTTGTCAGGTAGCTGAGGAGTTCCTGAGACTTCTGATTTTTATACAGGAATTTTTAAGGCATGCGAGTCACTGGACTTCAGATGCCCTGAAAAACATTCAGTATTTTCAAAAATTTCTACAATAGGTTACAGAGGGTGGGGCCCACAGATGTGGTCATCTTTTATGAACTGTCCAGGAACACCCTGCTGCTTGATAGCCACTTTGTTTTTTTTTTCCTTTTAATGGGAATTAAATGTGAAATGGTCAAAAACAACCTCGCCCCTGCCTTTGGTCCCAGAATCAGCCACCAGGGAATGAATCACCCACCAAGATAAGGAGGAGTACTCTTCTCTGTTGCCCTCAGAGGGATGCATGAAATATTGAACTTTTTACTCTTGCGTCAGTCACATGAACCTTCTGAGAACTCAAAGCAACGTTTTAAGTTATAATAGGAACTCTGCGACTCTGCTGTCTAAACTTCAGATATAATACTTGGTTTCATAAGAATGGGTTATTGGTTTTCAGTGTAGGTGCCATATTCTCTTCTTGGGTAGGTCTGTTGTTAGAGGAGGTAGAGAGGTCCACAGCATTTGTTCATGGTGTTCTGTGCACTCATTCTTCCCCCTGGTTGAAAACTCACACCTGTTACACTGTTACTAATACCCAGGAGTTACTTATAATGCTAAACCCCATACTAAAGGATTACCTTAGGAAACTGCCTTATGTTTTGCATGATCCAGTAACCAACAAATCAAAGTTCGAGCATTTATACCAAATAACATTTTATAGTGGGCTATTCTGTAATAAAATGTTATGTTATTAATTTATTCATTCACTTATTCAATGTTCCAATCAATGTCTATTTCTTTTATAAGGCAGGCACGTATTGTATTAGCTGGGTACTTTATCATTGTTTTTAATTTTATCAATTATTTGAATCAAAGATATGTTGTACATATCTTCTCATCAGCCTTTTGGTTATTTTGCCTCAGTTGTAAGAGTTAGTTTATCTCCAGGAAATGCCCAGCAAGAGTACTGAGCCATCTTCAGGAGAAATGATGATGCTGAGACTAGATGACTTTTGTCTAGGTTCATCTCTGTGAAGTGGAGGGAATGGAAAAGTTCAAAGACAAAGATTTTGCCCTAGATGTCAGTGCCAACCAGCCTGTCCTGGTGGCCGTGAAAATGCTCCGAGCAGATGCCAACAAGAATGCCAGGTCTGTGGTCTGCATTTTGAATTTGCCTTTATGTATTTCACCTTTAGGACCAAGAATACTCCTGGATAGTTCTGGGCAATTTTTTCTTTTGAGATGGGAGGTCTGTGAGCTGCCTCACATTTCCATTGTTACGCTTTTTTGTTCTGATGGGGTCAGCAGTCCTCATCTTTTTCTCCATCTCTCTCAAACAAAAATGTGTATTTTCCATTGTATTTCATCATGTTTACTTCCTAACCCCCTTTGCACAGCAGTGTATTTGCCAACATATACATAATTGTGTACTTCTTTAATCACTGTACACAGACATACTCCCGAATGCCATGACCTCCTCTTGACAAAGTCTTCACACTCACACACATCTTTCTTGCTAAGCCTCTTCCATTCTCCTTTTTTCCCCCACATCTCTGTTTACTTTCTCATCTCCTTTTTTCTCTTTTATGCTCCTTTTCTTCTATGTCCAGCAACCCCCCAAAACGAGAAGCTACCTCTGCTTGGAAAATTATCCATGGACCTCAAAGCAAAAGGATCCACAGTCCTTTAGCAGTTTTCCAAACTGGCTAATAATCCCCTGGGTCCTTTACCACATACATGGCAGCTTCTAGCCATACTCTGTTGTCTGACAGCCTTTCCATTACAGTGATGGTGAGTTCATCCTCACCCACAGGGGCATGCTGGTTGAAAGCTGATTGTGTGTGTCCCAGAGAAATCTGCACATCTGGATAACATATGCATCCTCCCATTCGTGTTGTCTCGATTTGTCTCACTGATAGTCGTAGCGAGAGAAAATTTATTATTTCTATTACTCGAGTTTTTGTAAATTCCAAGAATGGTGATAGGTTTCACTAAGAGTCGTGCAACTGACACGATGTGGAAGAAGAGGGGAGGGCGAGGTAACAAAACTACGGAGGTTTTAGAATTTTAACTGAGAGTTTCAATCTTAAGGATATGGGCATGAATGAAAAGTGACATTCTCTGGGCCCCATGGAGAGATGGAGTATTCCTCATATTAACCGTAGCATATTATTAGAGAGAGTGGCAAGGAGAAAACAAACCACTGGATAGGACCAAGCCTTTTTCCATTGTTTGTTGTCTCCACCTGTGCCCACTCCCATTTAGCAGTGATGGATGGCCTCAGCTCCATCATTTGCATGGCTCCTCCCGTTTGGGTTGAAGAAAGGATGAAAGAGGGGAGGTGTTGTACCAGGACTACATTGATTCTAAGGGCTTCCTATTGACATGGTATCACTTCTAGTCCTGGGTTACCACAACACTCACAGTAGACTTATAACTGGTTTGCACCAATAGTTTTGAGAATGTGGGCTATTAGCTTCCCTAACCCAAGTATTGCTACTTTATAACTGAAGGGTGGCTGTCACCATGAACTTAAACAATTATTAGCCTTGGCCAAGGGAGTACTTTTTTTGAGATGACCCCACGTTACCACTGTGGCCTTTAAACAGTTCTATTTTGAACTGGCTGCTAAAGGTGTGTTCTGACTGACTGCTGGTGCATAATGTATTAAGAGAAGCCAGTGTGAGAAAATAAAGAATTATCAGATAAACCAAAGGGTTGTTGTTCACTTTATAAAAGTTTCACTTTATTAATAAAGTGATTCCATGGCTTTTTAAAAAGGTAAATACCTCGGTGCACTTAAGATATGACTTTCAGTGAAAAGTCTCATTTTGCAGAGTAGATTTTAGTAGCATATATTTGGTTCAGCAAACATTAATCACTTTCTGTATAGCAGGCATTTTGTTAGATTCTAGGGATGCAAAGGTGAATAAGTCATGGATCTTGTTCTCAAAAACGTTACAGTTGAATAAGGGTCCAGCATATTCCAGGAGAAGTAGAACGAGATGGTTCCTGGTGCCAATTTCTCTGTACTCTCAAAGATTACCCAAAGGGAAACAAGATTTGGTGTATTGGGTAGGAATAGTTTTTGTTGTGCATTCTTCCCCCTATTGATTCTGATTCTGGCAACCTCTGGGTTTACCTATGTCTGTGTCCTCCAAAGGAATGATTTTCTTAAGGAGATAAAGATCATGTCCCGGCTCAAGGACCCAAACATCATCCGTCTCCTAGCTGTGTGTATCACCGAGGACCCTCTCTGCATGATCACTGAGTACATGGAGAATGGAGATCTCAATCAGTTTCTTTCCCGCCATGAACCTCCAAATTCTTCCTCCAGCAACGTACCCACTGTAAGGTAACCAAGCCAGATCTTTTATGTCTTCCCTGTGGTCATGAGAGAACCTGGCATCTGAAAACAAGGAGCAGAGAGCCTCAGAATTCATCTTTGTTCCGGGATGGTGGGGGAGGGTGGTGTGCGGGGAATAATGGACCAGCTGCCCTTTGGGGGAATGCAGAGGGGTTCATTAAGAATAGAGAAGGGATGTTAGGGTTTCAACTCTGGTTTGTTGATATCAACTTTAGAATGTGAGCCTTTCAAGGCTTCCTGTTTCCATAGGCTACCTTCTGTCTTCTTGTCTGTTTCCTCAGTTACACCAGTCTGAAGTTTATGGCTACCCAGATTGCCTCTGGCATGAAGTACCTTTCCTCTCTTAACTTTGTCCATCGAGATCTGGCCACACGAAACTGCTTAGTGGGTAAGAACTACACCATCAAGATCGCTGACTTTGGAATGAGCAGAAACCTGTACAGTGGTGACTATTACCGGATCCAGGGCCGGGCGGTGCTCCCTATCCGCTGGATGTCTTGGGAGAGCATTTTGCTGGTGAGTCCCCAGCTATTATTAAGCCCGTCACTAGCAAGTGGCATGTGAGGACCAACCTGAGAAAGCAGGAGTCCAGATCAATAGACCATGATATTTTTTCTCTGACTTGAGATGATTTTCTTTGCACACTAATTATTATTATTATTGTTGTTGTTTGCCTATTTCAGCCAGAAAAAGTAACAAGGTTGTTATGGAAAATCTAGAGGGAAAATTTTAAAATATAAGGGATTTAATATCATTTTTTTCTCTCTACCTTTTTCATCTAATGATTGAGCTTAGTTTAGGGTATTAAAAACCTTTCCATTTAAAGAAATGTTATCCACATAGGCTACTTTTCTTCTATATTAATTTCATAAACATATTTCTCATTAATTATTTAGACAAATATCCATATTTTTATTTTAATAATTTTTAATATTTACTTTTTAAGTTCATCATTTTTTGCTTTATAGTTTGTATTCAGTTTTTGGTATTCTGCACCATGAGTGAATGATCTTTTCCAAATGTCTCTCTTGGAGGGATATTTTCCAACCATGCATATCTGAGATTTTTTATTATTGATTTTGTAACCACTTAGCTGATTTATAGAATTATTAGACTACAAACTTTTACTTTCTACAATGTTGTATTGTAGAAAAGACATGTTATTTTGTCTTTTGTCTTCTATAATGTTGCAGAGAAAAGCCTGAGACCAATTTGGTTTTGTTCATTTATAGTTAATCTGCTTATTTCCTGCTTGTATTCTTATAGGATTCATGAATTAATTTTGAAATGAAAAATGTACGGTTATTACTTTCTATTTACCAAGACAAGCACTATTAATTTTTGGTATGTTTTCTTTGAGGACTTTTTTCTATACATGTATTTCTTCTATGCATGTATTTCTGTATATATATGTATGTATATACATATATAATTTATATTACATAATTGGATACCTACTATCCATGAATTCTTCTACTTTTATTTTTTTATTTAACATTTTATTATTCTCAATGTAATTAAATTTGTTTAAAAACATGATTTTAATGGCTGCATAATATTCTATTATGTGAATGTATCCTATAATTTAATAATGTCTCTATAATTTGATATTTAAGTACTTTCCAATTTCCTGCTATTATGAATGATTCTGTGATACATACCAGTTTACATATTAATAAATCTTCATAAAGATATTTTCTATCTATATGGATGAATCATTATGTTTTACCCATTTCTAATGTGATAACTAAGCATTGCTCTCTCTGAAGATATTGTGTGGTGTTGAGAACAATATATTAGATTAATATTCAGAATATCTTAGGTTGAATCTCAGTTTTTCCATTGCTAATGGTCTTATTCACCAGGAGAATTTAGTAACCTCTCCTGTCTCATTTTTCTGCTCTAAAAAATGAGGATAAATAATATCTCATCTACTTCACAATGCTGTGAGTATTCAATGCATGTTAATTACACCTGAGTCTCATTACTGTCACTTGTTGAAGTCTATCTTTCCAGACCGTGGCTATCAACCTGAACTGGGAAGTGAGGTCCTCGACTCACCCAGGAACTTACTCCAGGCACTTAAACCCGATTCCTCTCTTTGTGACATGAAAACAATTGACGGCTCCCATTCAAATTTTGCCTTTTCAGGGCATTTTCTCAAGGCACCCTAAAGCCTAAAGGTTGGCCTTCTAACACTCAGTGGGCGAGTCAGATAGATGATGGCTGCATTTCTTTCAGCTCTTGGACTCACCTCCAGAGAAACAGAACTAGGCTGACATCATGAGGAAAAGAGAATGGCCTGTTTCTTGACAACTTGTGTTGTCGTTTCTAGATGCTCCATGCATATCTCGGCAGTTTCAACATTCTTGCCCTTGGTAGAGGAAGGGGCAGAATTCCAGGTTATGAAATCTAACCTGCTCTTGTTGTGGCACAGGTTATGCTGATTTTCCCTTCTTATCCTTATTTCACAGGGCAAATTCACTACAGCCAGTGATGTGTGGGCCTTTGGGGTTACTCTGTGGGAGACTTTCACCTTCTGCCAGGAGCAGCCCTATTCCCAGCTGTCAGATGAACAGGTTATTGAGAACACCGGAGAGTTCTTCCGAGACCAGGGGAGGCAGGTAAGAACTGTTAGGGATGGATGCATGTGGACTTGTGTGCTCTTGAAGGAGGGAGAAAGGAAAGTCCTGACTCAGCGGGAGAGGCCTGAGCTGAAAGAGGCGCTATCTGGGTAAGAATACACTAAGCCTTTTGTAGTCCTCCTCAACTTCTTATTCAGTGACTGAAATCCTATAGGGAAAATTATTATTTTTTTTTACCTGAGGCAAAAATGGGCCACCAAACATTCAACAAAAGAAAGCATGCCTTCCTACCCCTCTGCCAGAAGCAGTCCCACGGTCTGCTTTGCACTAAAAATATTCTTAATATTATAGAGCTTTTTAACTTAGCCTCTAAAAAATTACATATCGATTATTCCAATGTTATTCCAATTTTGTAAGAAATTCTTTTTATCATTTGATGGAAGTTTTAATTTCTAATAATTTCTGGGATTTTTTAAAATTATTTTTTTAAAGGGTCTAGCATTTTTTTATTTTTTTTATTTTTATTTTTTTTTTGAGACAGAGTCTCACTTTGTTGCCCAGGCTAGAGTGAGTGCCATGGCATCAGCCTAGCTCACAGCAACCTCAAACCTAGCTCAACAATCCTCCTGCCTCAGCCTCTGAGTAGCTGGGAACTACAGGCATGCACCACCATGCCCGGCTAATTTTTTCTATATATATATTAGTGGCCAATTCATTTCTTTCTAATTTTATAGTAGAGACGGCGGGTCTCACCTTTGCTCAGGCTGGTTTCGAACTCCTGACCTCTAGCTATCCTCCCGCCTCGGCCTCCCAGAGTGCTAGGATTACAGACGTGAGCCACCGTGCCCGACCACACACTGTTTGTTAAAGTGCAGCATTTTACATGTTTAAATCCAAATACACACATTTGGGTGCTGGCACTTTCCTCTTGATGAGGCAGGCGGTTTATATCGAATCAGATGCCACAACATTTAGTTGTTTTGTTGTTCTTCTTGCTAGATTAGGTGTAATTCACTTTGGTATCCCCAGATACCTAGGGATTTCTTGTCGCATTTTGTAGCCATTTTATTTTTGGTTAGTAAAAATGTGGGGTCGGGGGTATTATAATATCTTACCTGCAGTGCCAGGATGCCCAGGTGAACTATTGATTCATCACATTACAGCACATTTGTTGAGTTAATGAGCATTTTAATTTATGTCTATGTAAAGTCAAAGCAGATAAAGGGTAAGTCAGCCGTTGTCTGACAGCCTTTCCATTACAGTGATGGTGAGTTCATCCTCACCCACAGGGGCATGCCTGGTTGAAAGCTGATTGTTGTGTGTCCAGAGAATCTGCACATCTGGATACAAATATGCATCCTCCCATTCGTGTTGTCTCGATTTGTCTCACTGATATCGTAGCGAGAGAATTTATTATTTCTATTACTCGAGTTTTGTAAATCCAAGAATGGTGATAGTTTCACTAAGAGTCGTGCACCTGACACGATGTGGAAAAGAGGGGGCGCGAGGTAAACACATACGGAGGTTTTAAATTTTACACTGAGAGTTTCAATCTTAAGGATATGGGCATGAATGAAAGTGACTTCTCTGGCCCCATGGAGTAGTATCTCATATTACACGTAGCATATATTAAGAAGTGCCGAGGAGAAAACAAACCACTGGATAGGACCAAGCTTTTTTCCATTGTTTGCTGTCTCCACCTGTGCCCACCTCCCATTTAGCAGTGTGGAATGGCCTCAGCTCCATCATCTTGCTTCTCCGTTATTGGTTGAAGAAAGGATGAAAGAGGGAGGTGTGCACCAGGACTACATCGATTCTAGGGCTTCCTATTGACATGTTCACTTCTAAGTCCTGGGTTACCACAACACTCACAGTAGATTATACTGTTTGACCATAGTTTTGAGAATGTGGCTATTATCTTTCCTAACCAAATTGCAGTACTTTATAACTGAAGGGTGGCTGTCACCGTGAGCTTACAATTATTACCGTTGGCCAAGGAGTCTTTTTTTGAGAATGACCCCCGTTACCACTGTGGCTTTAAACAGTCTATTTTGAACTGGCTGCTAAGGCTGTGTCTGACATGACTGCTGAATGCATAATTATCAAGAGAAGCCGTGTGAGTAAGAATTATCAGTAAACCAAGGGTTTGTTCACTTTTATAAAAGTTTCACTTATTAATAAAGTGATTCCATGGCTTTTTAAAAGGTAAATACCTGGTGCACTTAAGATATGACTTTCAGTGAAAAGTCTCATTTTGCAGAGTAGATTTTAGTAGCATATATTTGGTTCAGCAAACATTAATCACTTTCTGTATAGCAGGCATTTTGTTAGATTCTAGGGATGCAAAGGTGAATAAGTCATGGATCTTGTTCTCAAAAACGTTACAGTTGAATAAGGGTCCAGCATAATTCCAGGAGAAGTAGAACGAGATGGTTCCTGGTGCCAATTTCTCTGTACTCTCCAAAGATTACCCAAAGGAAACAAGATTGGTGTATTGGGTAGGAATTGTTTTTGTTGTGCATTCTTTCCCCTATTGATTCTGATTCTGGCAACCTCTGGTTTACCTATGTCTGTGTCCTCCAAAGGAATGATTTTCTTAAGGAGATAAAAGATCATGTCCGGCTCAAGGACCCAAACATCATCCGTCTCCTAGCTGTGTGTATCACCGAGGACCCTCTCTGCATGATCACTGAGTACATGAGAATGGAGATCTCAATCAGTTTCTTTCCCGCCATGAACTCCAAATTCTTCCTCCAGCAACGTACCCACTGTAAGGTAACCAAGCAAGATCTTTTATGTCTTCCCTGTGGTCATGAGAGAACCTGGCATCTGAAAACAAGGAGCGAGAGCCTCAGAGTTCATCTTTGTTCCGGATGGTGGGGGAGGGTGGTGTGCGGGGAATAATGGACCAGCTGCCCTTTGGGGAATGCAGAGGGGTTCATTAAGAATAGAGAAGGGGATGTTAGGGTTCAACTCTGGTTTGTTGATATCAACTTTAGAATGTAGCTTTCAAGGCTTCCTGTTTCCATAGGCTACCTCTCTCTTCTTGTCTGTTTCCTCAGTTACACCAGTCTGAAGTTTATGGCTACCCAGATTGCCTCTGGCATGAAGTACCTTTCCTCTCTTAACTTTGTCCATCGAGATCTGGCCACACGAAACTGCTTAGTGGGTAAGAACTACACCATCAAGATCGCTGACTTTGGAATGAGCAGAAACCTGTACAGTGGTGACTATTACCGGATCCAGGGCGGGCGGTGCTCCTATCCGCTGGATGTTTGGGAGAGCATTTGCTGGTGAGTCCCCAGCTATTATTAAGCCCGTCACTACAAGTGGCATGTGAGGACCAACCTGAGAAAGCAGGAGTCCAGATCAATAGACCACGATATTTTTTTCTCTGACTTGAGATGATTTTCTTTGCACACTAATTATTATTATTGTTGTTGTTTGCCTATTTCAGCCAGAAAAAGTAACAAGGTTGTTATAGAAAATCTAGAGGGAAAATTTTAAAATATAAGGGATTTAATATCATTTTTTTCTCTCTACCTTTTTCATCTAATGATTGAGCTTTAGTTTAGGTATTAAAAACCTTTCCATTTAAAGAAATGTTATCCACATGGCTACTTTTCTTCTATATTAATTTCATAAACATATTTCTCATTAATTATTTAGAAAATATCATATTTTATTTTAATAATTTTAATATTTACTTTTTAAGTTCATCATTTTTTGCTTTATAGTTTGTATTCAATTTTGGTATTCTGCACCATGAGTGAATGATCTTTTCCAAATGTCTCTCTTGGAGGGTATTTTCCAACCATGCATATCTGAGATTTTTTATTATTGATTTTGTAACCACTTGCTGATTTATAGAATTATTAGACTACAAACTTTTACTTTCTACAATGTTGTATTGTAGAAAAGACATGTTATTTGTCTTTTGTCTTCTATAATGTTGCAGAGAAAAGCCTGAGACAATTTGGTTTTGTTCATTTATAGTTATCTGCTTATTTCCTGCTTGTATTCTTATAGGATTCATGAATTTTTGAAATGAAAATGTACGGTTATTACTTTCTATTTACCAAGACAAGCACTATTAATTTTGGTATATTTCTCTTGAGGACTTTTTTCTATACATGTATTTCTTCTATGCATGTATTTCTGTATATATATATGTATGTATATACATATATAATTTATATTACATAATTGGGATACTACTATGCCATGAAATTCTCTACTTTCTA